TGCAGTTTTGGCTTGGCATTTACATTATTTAGAAGCATGTTGAATTTCTTTGTTGCTTTTACTTCCAAACTAAATCTGCAACATACTGGCTTGAACATTTGGATGGTTTCTGTACGCATATGTTCTTGTTATGTTTGTATTTTAGTCCTACAAATGCACTGGGACACTTCACTACTTGGAAACTGTGAGGTTTCTGGAGTGAGTGGGAATACAGAATAATTCCTTGCATTGGATGTTATTGTTATATACTTCCTCTTTACATGCACATGGTTTTAAAGATAAGGTACTGGGCCTCCGTGAAAAGGGAATTTCTGCTTTTCTCATTGTCATCTCTCTTTCATAGTGTAGTCTCTTTGAGAGGTAAATGCTTGTGCGTATGGATCCAAACCTGCAGCTTCTCTGATCATTTTGCCATTACTGTCAGTGGAATGAGTAAGTTTATACTCATGGAAAACCTTGGGGTTTGCTCCTTACTGAAATTTAGGTCTCGAGGACTCTTTGCAGTTTCCATTTTAAGCTTAAAAGTTAAAGTTTTCTTGTTTTTCAAAATTTTGTCTTCATTGTGCTTATTTTTGGTTTTACTGAGATAATAGTTTGGCAAGATTTGAAAGAAAAGGAAGGTGTAAATATAAAAATGAAAAATAAATTGAAGAATGACAGTAGATAGTCAAACATACTGAATAATATGTTATTTTAAAATACGAAAGTGTTTAGGGTACTGGTTACTAATTAGAACCTTTGTGATCGGTAGTAATGACTGAAGGTGTAAAATGAGAGATGGGCAAGAAAAGACGTGCCAGGTTTCTGCTGCTAAAATGCCCAGAGAGGAAATGTTTTGTTTCGGTCGCAGCTAACCACGTAACTACATTTGGCCATTAGGCAAAGGGAAGAAGGAGACAAGTTTATTTCAAGAATTACCTAATGAGAAAAAGCTCTGTCACCTGAATAGTGGGAAATAACTGTGAAACCCACAACCTGTTTCTAGCCTAGCAACAACATCTACTTCACATTTTGTCAGCTTAGATCTATCGTGTGCAACCGTAGTGCACAGGTACGGCCCTGCACCTTGTGACCCAGCTTTGACACCCAGGCAAACAAGTCAGATAGCAGCTTTTGGCAGCCACCGCGTGCGCGTTGGTGTATTAGTCTTTGATTCTGCCAGAGCAGTGAGCTCTGGTTCTGTCGCCGTTCGAGTTCAGTGTGCATCACGGGTCAAGAGGGTGTTAGCGGCGCTGTGGGCATTACCCTTGTCTGACTGCCTTGCCGGTGAAGCCAGCAGATCCTGCTTGCCCGCACATATGTCCCTTCAGCAGATGTATTTTAATGGAAAAGTGTTTGCAGTGTGTGGCTTAGCTCTTGCAGGAAGTCTGGGGCCATACACACACAAAGGACAAAAAAGCCTGAATCCATCTATGTTTAGTATTTAATGCTGGTTTATATTCATTAGAAAAAGTAAAATTAATCTGAGTTTCACCAATAGATTTACATATCCATTTAGGTGTGTTAAAAATACTGCACTCGATCTGTTTCTATTTTTCTTTTAAGCCTTTCTTCTTCCCTGTTGTTCCTTGATACAGTGGTGTTTGGGGTTATTTTTTAACAGTATTACAAGTTGAGGTTTATGCAGGAAGAAACTTCCAGTGTCAATTTTGATAAAATACTGATTCAGTCAGTGCTGGCCACTCTTTCAAAAAAGCAGTGGAGATGTAGAAAGAAGCAAAGTTTTTCCATGGCTCTATTTTAAAGTTTTGTTCATGCAAAGTCATATTAACAGTACTAATTATTTTACAATATTTAATTTCCATTTTCACTGTTTAGCAGCTCCATTCTCTGCTTTGTAAAATACTGGCAAGCAACCTCTCTTCTTCTGGCTTGGCAGATAACGAATGTCTGTTTTCTGCTGAAACAGGAGTGTGATAAAACAATTGGAGTTCTAAACATGAAAGGTTAATTTCAACTGTTTGGCATTATCCTAATGCTACACAATTGAAATACTTAGCATCTTGCCGGTCTCCCTAGTAATATGCCACTGCACATTGCAGGGAGATCAACTAAAGTCATCCACTAGCTTTTTTGTTTCTAAAACACTGAAATTATCAGTAATACAGTGGACATGCATAGTAGGTGGTAGATGCCTCAAATCGGAGACCTTTATTAAGAAGTTCTTTCTAATTCCAGTTGGGACTGAGTCAAGTGTTACGTTGTCTGTTTTTGCAGTGTACTTAATTTCTCATCCATCTGAGAAAGATGGTGTGTCCAAGGTGGATACTGGGAGTGAAGCAGTGCTAAAGAAGTATCTAACCTCTCCCCTAGTCGTAGGGGACTCACTCCAATTCTTGCTGCCAGCCTGGAGCAGAGTCTCTGACATTTTTGTGTGCTGACATTTTTAACAAGTGCATGGATAAAACCCACCCTTCTAACCCTGCAGTGGCTGGCTCATGTCCTGAAGTTTTTGAAGCAAAGGTCCCCTTTTTAACATACCCTCTCAAAACAGACACGGGCAGGATGATTCTCAGTTCCACACTCAAGGTTCTACATGCACTTCCTCCATAGTGGAGCAGTACATCTTTTTATCCTGAAAGCCTCACACAAGTCGTATTCGTTGAAATAGTTTTCTTTTCCAAACATATGTAAAGTAGTAAGAAGTGGAAAGCAAGCTGCTTTTCCTTGTCAGCAAAAGGCGTGTTTCTTTTTTATGAAATAACTCGTATCCAGCTTCAGCTGCTCTTAACGGACAAGGAAGGGCGGAATGGCAGAAAGCTTTCAAATCCACAGTGCTGACCGTGCACGCTTGTTTGCTTTAGAGGCTGTCGTGCTGCTGTGCAGGAGGCCGCCTGTTGTAAGAGATAATTACTTCCCTGCTTCAAAGGTCAGCTGTGACAGCACGGAATGGGCCTGTGAGCACAGCGAGATCACGCGTTACAGTCAGTCAAGGATCACAGCTAGGTCTGCAAACAGTACAAAAGGCAAACTGAAAATAAAGAAGAAACCCCTAAGTTTAATCAGAGCCTTGGGCAGACCCCCTTCCAGTTTGTTCTGATTAAAGCAGTATCCTTTTTGTTGATGAAAACGTTAAGTGATCTGTTGAAGGTATCATTAGTAAGATGTCAACATGAGATTATAATCAGTGTGGAAGGGTTATTAAAGTTCACAATTTAAGGGTGAGGTAGGCAAAAAATGTCCTAAAACCTAGGAAGGGGGAAATAGTGATAATTCCTGACTTCCTGTTACAAACACATTTACCATACTTGTATGAAAAGCTCTTCCAAATAGGCTTGCAATTAGGAACCGGTGATGTACAAAATAGTGTGGCCTCACGATTAGCAGAACAGAAACATATTTTAGTATTTCAGGAGAGAATGTGAAGCTCTTCAGTATCGGACTGCTTTCTTTAATGGCTACTTCAGAGAGCAGCATTTGTTTGTTTTTAATGGGTGGTTACACAGTTTCAATGTCACTCACAAAGCTCTGCTAAGTTGAAAGCCAGCTGTATCACGGAGGGAAAGGGATTAGCTTCCTGTCAACTTCCTTTTTGGAAAAAGTGAAGTGTGCGCACTGAAAATATTTCCAGCTTGGGTAAAGTATGTTTGAAAATACCTTTTGGGTAGAGTCATATTTTGATGGGCAAAGAAAGAGGACTTGCTTTCGGTTTTACATGTTTATAGAGACATTTTGAGAAATCTAAGGGGCTTTTTTCTCCTTCATTTTGGAAAGTACACACTGTTCAAGCTGGGAGAGTTTTGCCAGCGTTAACCTTGATCTCTTCTGGCACTGTGGTCCGACGGAGAGCGTTCTTTCAGAAATCTCTCTGTACTTTGAACTGTTGAAGGGACTGCTGTGGTATGTGTGTGCAGCAAGGGTCACAGCACTTTCGTTCCTAAGAGACAGCAGGAGCACTTTATTTTTTGTGTTTGTATGCATGTGAATGAAAGCAAAATACGAAATACAGGGTGTGGTGGGAATACGGAATTTTACTGCTTGAGAGTTTGGATGTACCTGTTCCTAAACTAAAAGGTAAGGGAAGTGCTGCAAATGCTTATATTCGTACATGTGTGGAGTGGTTACTAAATCTTTTGAGTGATTAAAAAAAAAAATAAAATAAAATTTTGGTTTTCTATCAATGCTCTGTGTACACAGGATGAGATAGAGTAAATATTTATGTGAAACATATGAAAAAGATGGAAGAGTGAAAGTGCATACTCTATTGCAATGTGATTACTATTGTGTAATTACTATTAGTCATCAGTACTTCAGCATAAACCTTAATAGGAGTCAGTTTTAAAATGTTTACGCTTGTGTACAGCGCTTTTAATATAAAGGTTGTTTTCCTTTATTCCTTAGCAATAACAGCATTCATGTGAAAACAGAGTGTTTTGCTTGCCATATAGCTCCTGTTGTTTTCCCTAACTGAACCTTATTTTGCTTTCATTAGCTAGAAGCACCATCCCGTGGGATGCTTTACTACAAAGCATGCCAAAAGTATCCCATGGGAGCAGACTTCCACTAACAGAGAAATAAATGAGATTTCTCCTGTAGGTACTTTTTCCCGACTTCAGTTTCTAGAAGCATAGTAGCTCACAAGATCCATTAAATCCCAAATCTCCGTTGAGTAACACAAAAGGAATCCTTTTATGTCAAACTGCAATCTAACAGTAAGAAAGTATTGTTTTTATTTGTCAAAGCAAGGAAAGAAATAAGTATTTGTCATTTTGAAATAGAACAACTTGGAAATGAGCAGTCTGATAAGAAATTAGAAGTTTACTCCTGCTCTAAATATGACCTCTGCACCAGAAATAGAGACTTGCTTAGGCTGCAGTGAAAATGATGGTGTTTCACATGAAAGCCATGTTACCCTGTATTAACTGCATCTGAATTGGAACAAAACGTGCTGGATGTCTGCGTAAAATGATCCTAAGCAAAACTATGCTATTTGTTGCTGAGAATTTTGGTATACAACACTCACCTGAGGATTTTCCTGTCTCTTCATTCTGTCTAGTGTTGAGGGTGAAGCTCCAAGCAGTGAAACTGGCACATCCTTGGATAGCCCATCAACTTACCATCAAGGACCTATAACACACAGTTCAGCCATAAGTCCAGACCATTACGATCATTCTGCTTACGGGCTGTACTCTGTCTCCCCTGGACAACAAAGATCTCGGAGGCCGAAACTTCAGCACTCAACATCCATACTGCGAAAACAAGCAGAGGAAGAAGCTATTAAAAGGTCAAGATCACTTTCTGAGAGCTATGAACTCTCTTCAGACCTACAAGATAAGCAGGTATTTGAGCTTTGTTACTTCATTTACGACAGTGGCAACATGTCTGTAAGCTGGGAAAAATCTTTTTTACCATCCCTTCAGTTGTGATGCTGCAAATGCCCTTTTTTTCCTGCAACCACCTTAGTTCAAAATAGTCATATGCCAGCATTTCTGAGGTTTTGACACTTCTCCTGTGTCGTCCCTGTGTCTCTCACCCCGTCCGCCCTTCCTGAAGAAACACTTAAAAGATATGTTAGCAGTGTTAATAGTAAAAATAGTTCTACTAGGAATTGTGATTTCATGCTTGGGACAAGTATTAGAATGTAATAATGCAAAATATTTTTCTAAGAAAATGAGTCCTTTTGAAACCTGGATAGTTTTGTTGTTGCAGACAGAAAGGGAGAACTGTTTGCAACTGATATTCTCTCAAATCCGTGAGGTGAATTCGAGGTCTTAATTGGTTTTGCTCAACTAGGCAGAACTCCCATGTGCTTTCCGAAGTGGTGGATGGAGTCTATGTAGATATTCAAAGCCTTTATCCCTAAAAAGACATTCTGTAAGACAGTCAGCCTCAGCCATTCCTTCTAAGCTTTATTCTGAAGGAAGTCCTACCTGAGATATGTTTGTTGTCATATAAGTTCATATTTACCATTTGAAAATGACACTGTAATAGCTGAAGGTAAGCAAACATGCAGGTCGCACTGGATTTCACTGAGAGATGAGCAGTAGCCAATACATCAATATTTTTCGTTTGTTTGGGTTTTTTTGGTCCTTAGGCATCACACTTGTCACAGAATATTTTGTTTCCTGTGAATCACTGCAGTGTATTGCATAGTCACTCCAACTTGTATGTTACCATGGCAAAAGTGGAAGCAGGAAGAATTCCTCAGGCAGGAAGCAAACTACACCTGATTATGGATCACACATTGGTAGTCAGGTGACATTTATAGGGGCTAAGTCTCATTTGTCATATGTATTGTTCTAAAATTTCAGGTTGGAGAATTCCATAATGTTGTTCCAAAGAGACTGGGAAGGACAGAGCTCAAGCTCTGACTTAAAGTTGAAGCCAATATTTGGGATACCAAATATGAGTTTAGTTTAGCCTTTATGCTCATCAAATTCTATATTGGAGTGTGGACATATCAAGTTTGTGATTCTTGATCTAAATTATGCCAGCTCTGCTATTAAATTGGACCTCCTTGTGAGACCTAAAAGATTACTTGCTTCTTCACCTTTGGCAGTCTGTTTTGCTAGATGTCTCGTAAGGGATTGATATAGCATTAGGCTTACTAAAGAGGTCTCCTGCACTGCAGATACTCCACAGAGCCTCGTTCCATCTGTCCTTATATGCCAGTTTGATAGAGAATGAGGACTGCAGCTGTTATTTTTTATTTGTTCAGGGAGTTCTACACAATAAAAAGTGACAGCGCTACATAAAGGCAGCTTGATACTGAAGAGTTGCTTACTGCTCTTGAAAAGCTCTCACTGAAATCTCAGAAGATACTTAAAAACAATTTAGGAAACTGTCCAAAGCTTTACCTACAGGCAACGTGCTTTAAACATGCATTAAAAAGGTGCATTAAATATGCATTAAAATTTATTAGAAATATTAGTCACAAGTCTAGTAAATCATCTAGGCAAATTCTAAAATACCCATAATTAAAATTCCCACCAAAGCTTCTTAATTTATGATAATCAATTATGATGTCATTTTCTGTGTAAACCTGAAGGACAACAGCCTGTTTGCAAGAATAAAATCCAGATCATTTATTTTATAGAATATTAGGTTTTGTTTTATTCTTTCACACCAGCTATGCCAGTTCTCTTTTATTTAGATTTGACATTTAATTTTGAGAGAATAACTAAATTAACAATTCATCATTTGTTTTGAGATTAGTCCAGCAAAATAATAGCTTACAATTTATTTAAACTCATGTGACCTAATGTGTACTGTGGATAGAAAGAGTAGCAAATGTGTGGCAGCAGTGGCAGGGTTGTGACAGAAGTTCTTAATCATTTTTTTTAATCTTCAGAATGCCTGACAAGTAACCTCATAGCCTCTTTGACATGCAGATGTGGGGATAATATAACTCTCCTTTGGCAGTGAAAGGCTAAACAATTTTTTTGAAGAAAAACTGTAGAAAATTATGCAGAGGTTTACAGATTCCCAGCTTGGAGATCAGTCACAGCTTTTTGAGCTTAGTAAAAAGAAGTTTCAAGATACGGCCAGAAGGACAATTCCTTAGGAGTAATCCTGATCTGAGCCCATTGGAGAACTCAACCTCTTCAGTTATGCCAGTAACTGTACCTAGAATTAAAAAAAAAATAGTAAAAATTAGTGATTCACATTTAAAAACATTGAACCAGATGTTCATCTTGAATGTGGAAGGGGAATAGGAGCTGAAAGACATACATCAGCTACTCCCAAATAGTAGACATAATGGACTAGAAAATATTTTTTAATACCATTTAGTTCCTTCCATAGAAGGGGGATGAAGCCCATCTGCACATCAATATCTGAACTTAACAGTTACTCGGAGAGATCTCCAGAGTATGAGGAAGAGGGGTAGTGTGTGCACCTGCATGTACTACAAATAATTAAAACATGGTGTCAGTCAGAAAAGGTACCTGGATTTGCAAGCGAGGTCAAATAACTTGAATCATTGGAGTATTACAAAAATTACATGGACTGATACAAAAATGCTTCCAGAAGAATGGTGGTTTTAATTGTAGTATATTGATTTGTGATGGATGTTTTGTGTTTGTGTATAATATGGATCCAGCAAAGACTAATCAGAACAGTAATTAAATATTAGAAAAAAAAAATTAGTTATTAATCTTGGTCAGTGTTTTTTAAGTAAGTGATGCTTTTCATGTTTTTGAAGGAAAGATTTGAAAATATCTAATGAGTATTCCAAAAATATTATACGTCATTTTCACTAGGTTAAATTGATAACATTTATTATGTATGTATTTTGCATATTCGCTCTGTTAATTGGAAAACCGGCATTGTTGAGTGTAATTACAAGAATGAAAATACATTTGAATTTGTATTTAGAAAATCTAAAATATGTTGTTGTTTGAGGAAGACAACAAGTGTCTGGATATTCTATCAGAGCAACCTCTCTGGAAGCGTGTGGTGTGGGAAGCTCAGTTTTGCTTTGATACCAGGCCTGGGGGGAAGGATGCTACCTGGTTTTATTCATGTAGAAAGCGACGCGTGCCTGGGAGGGTGATGGTTACTTTCAGAATTTACTCCCAAGATACAGCAATTTGCATTGTACTTGGATTTCACGTCTCTACAGTTGTCCCTACGGAGAAAGAATGGCTGCATTACCCTGCGTTAGAATGCTGCTTGTCTGCTTTGACACGGGCACACCAATGCCTAGTGTGTGAAAACCAAAATCTAAACACACAGATTGCCAACACCTTGGTTTTAGATGACAGTGTTCACGTAGTTGTGTTTTTGTCTGTATTTTTATGGTGACACATGCAATTCACTATTCGGTTCTCTGTTGTGCAGTTGTTAGTCTGGAGCTTTGAGTTTTTACTTTCAAAACCAGCATAAACTTTGAAAAATTTTTGAATGTGAAAGGTGTTAAAAGAAAATTTGTTTTGTTCTACTTTCATTTCGTTCTAACCCGCATCGAGTTACACAGTAATTGTGTTCACCCCTTCACAGGTGGAAATGCTAGAACGGAAATATGGAGGCCGTCTCATAACTAGACATGCTGCTCGTACCATACAAACAGCTTTTCGCCAGTATCAGATGAACAAAAACTTCGAGCGTCTTAGAAGTTCTATGTCTGAAAATCGTATGTCAAGACGCATTGTACTGTCCAATATGAGAATGCAGTTTTCCTTTGAAGGACCTGAGAAAGTCCACAGCTCTTACTTTGAAGGAAAACAAGTTTCTGTTACAAATGATGGGTCAAAGCTGGGATCCCTGGTACCGTCTGAATGTGGTGACCTTGGAGAGTCGGCTACAATGAAGTCTCCAGCAGCATCTACTGATTTTGCTGATGCTATAACAGAACTGGAGGATGCTTTTTCCAGGCAAGTGAAATCCCTTGCAGAGTCCATTGATGATGCACTGAATTGCCGTAGTTTACACTCTGATGAAGTCCAGACTCCGGATCAAGTCAGAAGTCGTGAAATGGAAAGGGATAGTTGTGCTCAAACTAAACCAGCAATTCACAATGTGGATCACAGGAAGCTTGACGAGATGACAGCATCATACAGTGATGTTACGTTATATATTGATGAGGAAGAGTTATCTCCGCCCCTTCCCCTTTCCCAGTCAGTAGACAGACCGTCCAGCACAGAATCCGATTTGAGGCTCCGGTCTGTGAACTCTTCTCAAGAGTACTGGTCCATGACCCACAAAGACGATAAGCTAGACACTGATACGAGCTGCAGGAGCACCCCATCACTGGAATGTCAGGAACAGAGGATAAGAATGGACCATCTACCATTGCTAACCATAGAGCCGCCCAGTGACAGTTCAGTGGACTTGAGTGATCGCTCAGAGAGGGGTTCATTAAAGAGACAAAATGCGTATGACCGGGGGATCACTAGTCAACAAGGAAGCCCCAAACACATCCCTCACAGTATTCCCGCCAAGATTATATCCCGAGAGGAACAGGAGGCAAGACACAGGGCTAGGCCTATAGATAGTCATTTAGCTATCAATGGCACGGCCAACAGGCAAAGCAAATCAGAGTCTGATTATTCTGATGGGGACAATGACAGCATCAACAGCACTTCTAACTCTAATGATACCATAAATTGCAGCTCAGAATCTTCTTCTAGAGACAGCCTAAGGGAGCAAACCTTGAGCAAGCAAACGTACCACAAGGAAACTCGCAACAGCTGGGATTCCCCCGCCTTCAGTAACGATGTTATCAGGAAACGCCATTACAGGATTGGACTGAATCTTTTTAACAAGTAAGTACAGCGTTTCCTCCTTTTCTCCCTGTGTTTGGTAGGAGCATGGCCACTGAACCGGGAATATTTTTCTTGTACCAGATAAGTAAGACTGGTGTCTGATATTGACTTTTCAGTGAAAAAATAAGCTGCTCATGATGACTGTTCGTGTTAGAGTACTTACAAGTTGATGTCTTCGTAGTTAAGCAGCTTCAGGGGAAAAGAAATAATAGAATTATGTGTGTGTATATATATGGTAGTAAACTATTGAAGAAGATGCATCAGATGTCTGTCTTTTTGAAAAATACGGTGGCTTAATCCTGACCCATTTTTGGTGTTATAACAAATTCAAATTTCTTCTTGCCCTGATCGTGTAGGTATCGTAAAACTTGCCATATGGGAATACATGAGCCATGTAAGATGAGTTTCCTGTTTAACACAGCCAAGGCCTGAAATTTGTTCAGTAGATTTCGTCAAAGCTTTGATACTAAAAACCAATGTGCTGAATATTTTTATGCTACATAAATATTTATTATTTATCATACATTTGTATTTCTGCCTATGACTTAATTTTCCCGTGTATGAAAATAACTTTCTCAAGTTTCTCTGTTTTACTGAAACACTTTCTTATTTGGACACTCCCATGTGGCTGTAGAAAACCATTAATGTTATGATAGAGAATAACAAATAATACACTACTCTAAGCTCTGTATTCACATTACTGGAGTTGCACAGAGCTCATTATCTTCAGATTATGATAGTTCTAAGAACAGCTAGGTGGTTGGCATTGTAGTTCCTGGTTTTTCTTCACTGCTTAGTTGATGCCTAGTGTGTCGATTTCCCTGCCCTCGAGTGGGTATCGTTTACTCAAACCTTTTCTGGTAACGATGCTTATAAAGCCCCTCAGAATGCTTAGCTGGAAGATGCTAGGTGTCAGAATTTGTTTCTATTTTTCTTTAAAATACTGTTGGCAGCTCACATGTCTAAGTTCTTGAAATTTTCTATGGAGTACTTCAGGATTTCTCTATGAAAATTTTGTGGCTTCTAAAGAGCTAATAGGTATTTCAGTGTGCTGCCAGACCTTACTTCACAGTCTCCTTCTGCTTAAAAGATTTCAGCCCTCCCTTTTCAGGTAGCAGTGAAATCTTTGTAGAAAGTTAATAGGCTTTTACAGAAGCTTTTCACCAATTGGGAGTATGTAAGTCATAGTATCTCTGCAGCTTTTATTGCTCATGAAGTAGACTGAGTAGGAAGATATGTCAATTTGGGTTTTGTAGAAGAGTTGAAAACATTAACATCCTTGGTGTGGGGAGGAAGGTGCTGGTACCGTTGGGCTGACATTTAAATCGCTTAGTGTTTGCTCCATTTTTTTGCATGGTAGTTAAGCCTTCAGCAGTCAATGGTCAGTGGACTTCAGGCTTGATAATACAGTCTTTTGAGTCAGTTGCAGAAAGGTGTAAGAAAGAAGGTGAATGGAAAAGGTGCTCAAGCAGTGTGCAGTGATGAGTGAGAGCACTGGAAATTGTTAGATGCTTCTAGTCACATGGCATATCAGTAGGAGGCTGAGAGTGAAAAATAAACATCAGCAATAGGGAAGAATAGAGGCTGTTATTTGAAAGACATCTAAGTGGTCTTGCTGTATGGACTTGAAGAGAGAGTAGAGCAACCTTTTTTATATATTGGCTGGTTGTAAGTTGACTTGCAGTTTCTTAACAGTGAGTTCTAAAAGATAGCTCTGCGCAGAACTCCGGGCAGCACCTCTGCGTGTGATCTTTTGCTGTGTGTGATTGTTTCATTCCCCCGCTGTGTTTTATCTCCAGTATTGATATAGAACTGAAGATTCTCATTACCTTCTGCTGAGTCACTCTGACTCTATTGATAGCTCAGACAGTCCCCAAGTATCCCATGTATCTTGGTTTTGATTATGGCTCTTCAAGTCCATGGATTGTGACATTTCATTAATAGCCTTATTTCCCCTGTGCAACGTCAGGTATTGAACCGTCACAGAATGTGATGGTGCATGAATCTGTAAAGTCTTTTAAAGAGAGAGCTGGGAAACTTGCAAAGCTTTATTCTTTAAAAAGTTCAGAGGGCGACTCTTAAGAGTGAATCAGTAGGATTGCAAATTGCATATTGTAAGATAAGCGAAGGGATAGAGATTGTGTTCAGGCACTTGCCAGGATTTACAGGTGATGATTTCTTCAAGATGAAGAATCATTTTCCTTGTAAATATGTGTTGTACGGGTGCATTAGTTTAAATTAACTCTGAGCATTATGCTCATGGCTCTCAGCACATGAAGTATGTCATAGCATCTTGGGTGTCCAAACGTTTTTTGAGAAGAAAACCACGTCCTAGATGTCGGTTTCCTTGGCCAAGGCTGCTATTGCACATGCAGAACAGTGTAGAGGAGGCTTGCCCAACTTGGTTTGACATAGGCTAGGAAGGGGTCTGCAGGTGAGATGGACTTTCTGCAAATCAGTCCCATCTTCACAGTCTCTTTCTCATGACATGGCAAAAACACAACTGCCCAGCATCTCGTACGAGAAGGGTCCGCCTGTGCGTCCAGTCCGGTATTGCAAATTGCTGGTGCTTCCTGTCCTGTGACCAGATGTACATCTGTGACGTGATGGGGTACATGTTTTAGTCTGCTCTCCAGTGTACGTTAATGCAGCAGAATCATTTAGATGCCTTTTGACCATGTGATCTCTCATGACACGTTTATGATCATGAAATAAAGGAGTAGCACCAGTCTTGGCAGCGAGCTCCTGAGAGGATGTGTGCTCCACCCGTGTGGAAGGACTGTGTGCAGAACTGAAAGAAGTGGCTTTGAAGTTACCTATTACAAAAAGTCAAGTTTTTTCCAAATGTCTGCATCTACCAGAGGAAGTGTTAAGGATATCTTTTGCAAGGATTTTGTTTAACTTCATTGCATCTTTGAAATCTTTCTCGCAAATTAAGATTCCAAACTTGAATTAAAAAATAATCATGTTATTTCTTTCTGGTACATGAAGCTTGGCTGAAACACAAAGAGTTTAGAACGTTAAAGAAGTGCATGAATGGTAGTAGAGTAAATACTTCTGCTTTGTTCACTAGGATTGTTGAAAGCATGAAGTTTTGAAAAGCATAATCCTCACAATTTAAATTTCAACAAATGCTTTGTAATTTTTCTGGCTTTCCTATTACAGTAATAATTTTCAGAATCCGAAGCGCAGTTTTCTTAACAGAGGCCCTTTATTAGAATAGCAGGTTATGGGCGGAGTAAAAATTGAGCACAGCTGGTGGTCTAGTTCACTTAATCCCCACTATATGCAAAACATTAGTAGCACAAAGGTCCTTGGAGAATGGAGAACACAGGACAGTGGAGAAAAAACTGTAGATAATTGAAAACCATTTTTCTAGCAGTTTTATTACTTGACCATAGGATTTGTTTCAAACTATAACTCGGCAATCAGTTTGGAGCCTTAGTGTTGATTGCAGAAGTCTTCTTTTAACCAAAATATTTTGTGGTATCCACTGTACTAGAACACACGATATCACCTAAATAGAATGATTTCTGCCAAAGAAATTACGACTGAGTTACAGCTTCTGTATGTTCTCCTGGTTTTGAATGGCAGTAGTGACTTCACGCTGTCAAGAGGCTGTCAGACTGTGCGGAACCATTCATTGCTTTCCCAAAGAGAGGATTGCAGGTGCATGCCCAGAGTGCAGGGGCTCTCCGGGAGGCTTGGGGAGGCCAGCTGTGCTGAATTAGGCATTTTCTTCAGTGGAGTTTGAAAGGGATGTAGTCTGGGAGAAATTACACTGGAAACCATTCCTCTCTCATAGACAGAAGGAAAACACTACCTAGAAAGGTTTATTTTGCAAGCTCCAAACTCTGCCAATGCAAATCCAGCCTTTGAGACTGGTTTGCTTATAAACAGGGCTTCAAGAGGGCTTTTGACTGCTGCTGTTAAAAAAAAAAAAAAAAAAAAA